TTTAGAGTTTAACTACCGATCTATAACGCGTAAGAAGCGCAGCAGCTGCAATGGTATATCAGTAATAACGACTGACGCTGATGATTGAAGACCACAAATTAATAGTAGGTAATGTCGGCATCCTACCAGCTTCCTTATCTGATCCTGACAACGACACTACGTCGCACAAATATGTTCACGCTCCCCCATTAGAGCAGTGCTTAACATTAGTAAATTAGCTCAGTTTTTTTCCTATACTTACATAGTTAATACTTATTTCATGTGGTTTAGGGTATCAATGGCGCGGGTGGTCAGGTCCTACTCCAGAAGGTCACGCTCCCTGTATACGACTCAGCAGACTGTCAGGAAATATACGGCAAGTAAGTTACGTTACAGATCACCATCAATTATCAAGAGTCCGTGACAGGCACTGCTGAATTATGGGATGGACCTCCTAAATGCACATGAGAAGATTTGCTTAGAGCCATAGTATCGTTAATTATAGTTTAACTTAATTTGCAACCGTTGCTTAGGTTGTAGACCGAGCAAGGCGTCTCGGGTTTGATTCCTAGGTCGGGCAAAGTATAACTGGGTTTAAAAAAAATTCAGTAGTAGCACGGAGTCTGGCATTATGCCGCGGTATATAGCAATAGGCTCACCCCCTATTACATGGGACTCATAACATAAATAGTGAAAAGTAGGTGTTACATTGTACAGTGGCATAATGTGCACCTCTGCCTACCCCTTCAAGGAAAAAAGTCGTAATGTTATGAATTAAGTTTAGCTTACAGTCGGGCGCGCTGCGAGACACATGTGCCCATATAGTGACAACGACGTCAAAAAAGTTAAGGACGCCTATGAGGCGCTTGCCTAGGTCGCTGTGTAGGTTTTAACCCACTTTTGTTTTCCAATCCATTTATAAACACAAAGTCATACGTAGGTATTTTAGCTTTGGGATTATAACAGTAAGATAATGTTAGCATATGTACATAGGTACCTACTTAATACGTAGTTACTAACCGGCTACTTATGAATACACAGGACTTAATTACAGATAACATTGATCGTGTATGCTAATTTCACATTTTGCAGAGAATTAGTCACCCGAACGAATTTCTGCGCAGGATTCATTACGGTACCGAAAAACGTTTGTAATGTAAGTTCTACCTAATATTATGGTACTCCGATAAGACAATTTTAAAAACCAAAGAGTTATAGAAAACTTACTTCAACTGTCTTTGAAATTCTTGGAAGAAATCTTAGGGGTTTTCCGAAAAGTATGTAGGAACGTAAATAAAGTCTACAACAGTTAGCCATACAATAAAACTAATGTTCTACCAATTTCCCATCACTTCCAGCATGACGCTGGTGGTCCAGCAGTAATGGACGGTGTACTGATAGGAGTGCTCTCATTCTCGTCCAAGCGCTGTGACCAGGCGGACCAGCCCGCTGTGTTCTCCACTGTAGGAGCTATCGCGTCGTGGCTCGATGGTCTTGGGCAAAAGAAGGCGCAATTACGGTAAGGAAGGAATACTAGACTGCGTCGCTTGTGGTGTTTGTATGTGTGTGTGACTACCGAGCAAAAGCCCGGAGTTCAAGTACCTAGGAAAGGCAACGTACTGGGTTTTTTTCGCTTTATGTACCCTCTTGAGTTAATGTTTTTCATATAGGTACTACTAAGTACCTACCGTAAAACGGGGTGAATAGAATTCGAGGGGTGAATGATACAGGAATGGGGTGGATAAATGTTAGAATATTTTCCCAACATTTATTCACCCCTCGAATTCTATTCACCCTGTTTTACCGTTACTTTACATAACATCACTCTTTGTAAGCCTCAAAGAGAACTGTAAAGTTGTAAGGACGGAGTCGTGATGAATAGTGACATTACATAACGCAACTTCCAGCTGTCGCTATTTAGGTATACCTAAGTCTAAAAATAGAGGGTACATTACCACTCCAAGCTACTGCCAAGACATATTCGAAAAGATTTTAATAATTACTATAATTTAATGTCTTTTTTATTTACAGGTCGCTAATACAATGAGGAAATACAAAACGTTTTGGTTAAGAACTTTTAGAAAATGCCTACAGAATTACATTTTAACAAACCAAAACAAGTTTTTAATTTCCTGAAACCTGAAATGGTAGCGATGCAATAAAACAAACAAATAGACAACGTTCACATATATATTTTCACTAATACTGTACACCCACTTTACTCGCTCAACTATTCAAGAAAAGACCATTAGGATAAATTTTTAAAACTTTTAATATTTTCTATTCAACATACAACATTGAATAACATACAATTTTAAGATTATAGATATAATTTTTTTGTGTTCATTACAATCGGACCTTCGAACGTATTTTGGAATGATACCGAGCTGATCTCTTAACACGTAGAATATTGACTGATTATTTCATAAATAGGGCGAAACCAAGCGACACTTGTATTTACAGCTAACGGACAGACCCGCGTGATTTAATCACTGCATTCATTGCTTGAATGGAGTGGCGCAGTCCGATGTTTCAGAATCGTAATCGGCTGCTTTTATACCGTTAAAATCGATGTAAAATTCACAATCGATTCGAATCGATTATAATCGATTGTCATCGAGTGTGACAGCTTGTGTACTTCTGCCGTGTGCCTATGACCTATGATTAAAAAGAAATACCATAAAGATAACAACTAGGTGATCGCAAAGTGTTTAATACGCGACAAACAGGTTTTATATAAATTAATGCGCTTAGAGGATGCGGTAGTTGGTGTGCAGTTCTGGCTTGATGTCGTACACCAGGTTGAGGATATCCTTGATCACCTGGAAACAGATGAAAAATTATATTAGTGTCTTTGAAAAACAATTTGTTTTACAGAATTTTCTCTTAAGTCATAGATACATACGACTATAGTACTATGTAACTATAATACCAGTAGTATTGTAACTTTCGTGAGACATACTAAATAAATTATTATGTTTTCGGCTTCTCGTTAAATAATAATAAATTATTATGTTAACTTCGAACGTCGAGTTTCTTGAAACTAGTCGAGTTCCTCGTCGAATAGTGAGTAAGCCGAAAACATAAAAATACTAGTAGTGTTGTGTACTATGTATCCATGACTTAAGAGAAAATTCTGTATATCTGTCTGACTATAGTATTTATTCAGATAACTAAAACAATCATACATAACATATCTCTTGGCAATTATTGAAGCACCAACATGTCAGTGGCGTGTTTATATGTGCATCTACTTGCAACAGTTTAGAATCTTTCTTATAGTTAACTAGCGACCCGCCCCAGCTTCGCACGGGTGCAATATGCATGTATTATAATATAAACCATCACTCTATCTATTTAAAAAAAACCGATCAAAATCCGTAGCGTAGTTTTAAAGATCTAAGCATACATAGGGATAGACAGATGGCGGATAGCGACTTTGTTTTATACTATGTAGTGATAGTGATGGTAAATCCATACTTCTTACAAAGTGATTTATATTGATATATGACAATATTGTAATAGAATTATTAAAATAACATATTAGAGCTTTCTTCCCAGTGCTCTAGCAATAATAAGTACCTTAAATTAAGTAATACTCATAGCTTGACTTCTAACGACTCAATACAACCATTGAGTAGATGACGTCATCTTACGAAGGTCATTCAAAGAAGTTACTAAATGCGTCTTTAAAGGAGGCCGTACACGTTAGCTTTTGCATGATAGTTTTAGCCGTGCATGCATAACCGAGCAAGGCAACGGGCAAGCCCTAGCGTGTATGTAATTAAACTGTACAGTTATCGGTGCATCGGTGCTCGGTTATGCTTGTCAGTTTTGCATGCACAGTTATAAGTATAACCATCAAGCATAACCTAACGTGTATGGTCTCCTTAAGCTAAACATTGCTATCAGAAACAGTTTCTTAAATTTTATATCAAATGCCCACATATTACAAAACTTTAACTCATGTCTACAATTCTGTTTTAACAAAGGAGAAAATAGTGATAATGTGGAAAATATTACCTTGTAAATAGTAAATAAATGAATAGACATTTACCAGTAATTGTACCTATTAAAGTGGCTGTCTTTATCTGTGTGATATCTATTATTATATAAAATAAATACAAGTAAACTGATACATACGGCCTCTTGCTGTGCCTTCACCATTTTGTTCATCTCGTCGATCTTGATCTTGGTCTCAGCTTCGATCTTGGCGGCAACACCTTCCCGGGTGCCCATGTGCTGCACAGATATTTTATTATAAAACATTTTACATTTCTCACAGTTAACCTCAACTTCATACAGAACTCTTTACGAAGCATTCATTATCAATTACCCTACATATTTTCATTCTCTTATAATTTATTAATATTTAACCCTTATGCTGATCCAAGTGAACTACAGATACCTGTGAACTTTCGGAATGCAGATATACGCGAGACACAATGTGTTTACATATATATTGACAGACAAAAAGGTTAAAAGTTAAAAAGATTTGAATTTTTTTTTGATGTTAATTCCCTCTGGAAACAATGTAAATATATGTACTGTATTTATTAATTGAAATCAATGACAAATCACCTATAATTAATATTGCTATAATCATCATTAACATTTCAATTGAACAATATCAATAATTTGAGAATGAGGAACCTAATCTGTAAGATTAATGAAAGTTTTCTTTACATAACATTCTATTTCGCAACAAAATTATCTAACCAACTATAAAGTGATGGAAATAACTGAAAAATTAAATGTTGCAAACAGCAAATTATCTAACACAGCTGAGAAGATAACATCAATCTAAGTCTTGCCATTTATCAAATCTGTCAAAACTGTAATTGATTAAACCTGCAGAACAAATTCGCCATTTTTGTGTTAAAAATAACAATATTTAAGGATTAATCTTCAATTCTATGGCCAACTAAATATAAGTAGTAATTGTCTTCTACCATTTTTCTTCAACATGAAGTATTATTCATTGATCTAATTTGAGCAATAGTTGACTGTATCCCTGCATCTTATTTCAAATAGCAGTACTAATTAATTATTTAACATTTCATTCAAAATCCTTTAACTCGTCAAGTACCGTCGATACAGACACAATTATAGAACAATAGGTTGCGGTCACCGGTGACCGCTTGGTGTTTGACAGTTTAATAGGCATAGGATTTGAATCTCACTTCTAACCCATTACAATACTTAAACAATATGCTATGCTGTATGATGTCTAAACAAGAAAACAGTGTCATCCTTATTAGGATCATATTTTGAAACCTTCAACTTCAGTAGTAGCAGAAGCACCTTACTCTGACAATAATACTCTCAACTTGATGCTAACAGCCTTTACAGTCCAATTAACTACTCAGCTAGAAGCATTTGGAACCTTCCTTCTACAGGTGATAAAATAACCCAGTTCATTCAGTTCAACTCACCTTGGCCTCGAACTCTTTGAACTGCCTCTCACGCTCCTGTCTGTACTTTTCCACCTCATCTTGGGCCTCCTCCTTAGCCTGCTTTAGGCGTTTTGCTTTCCCTGTAACATTCAATTTTTTTTATATTACAAAGTAGTACTATAAAGTGTAGTATAAAAATTGTATTTATATAATGAGATTCAGTGGCACATCGAGATGAAGAATCTCTCAGTAACATTTTCGTACAAATTATCATAGTATGACTTCAATATGTGTAACATAGTACCTTGCTAGTTATTTAACGATGTAATTTATGAAGGGAATTAGTGTTTAACATCTGAACCTAGTTCAATCCCAACTTTTACCTAATGTCAAGTAGTTAATCAAGATCTGATTGTTTTATGATGAATTACTCAAAGAGAAGTATCAAGGTCTTGAGATAAACCTTGTTGTTTTGCTCAAAATACCTTTATATCTACAGATCTAGAGTATGCAGTATCTTTCCTTTGAGTATTTACTCAGGAAGTAAGTCTGCATAAAGGAACTTGTTACTTATGTAAGGCTATTCACTTATTCAGCCAGGAAGATCATGCTATCACAGACAATAGCATGCAAATTAGAATGAGACTGGTACTTAGAATGTCAATGTATTGTTTTATAGCCCTATGGCAATGTAACTATGATGAAAATCATCAAGTACTAACATGAAGTAGTTAATTAAGGTTTTAGTGAGAAAAGTCTTATTGGAAAATGTTTATCAGTAACTCATGCAAATTCAATATTAGCTTGGCACAGTCAGTGAAAAATGACGTAAGACTCAAATATTCATCTCATATAAGAACAAGTTCTACTTCTACAAGATGATAGAGGTAACCAGAAGCTGTTATCAATTGAATCAGTCATCAAGCGATGGGTGTAGTGAGACCATCATGTGATCTAGTCATCAGATCAAGTAAATCACAAATAAACCATATTTTCATATAGATTTATATGATACGCAGTTAATGAACGCCTGGAAACAAGATTTATATGACATACAAAGTAACTCCCAAAGTGGAAACGTACAAACAAGGCCTAATTGTAAAATACGTAGTATGACAAAAATAACTTACGCTTCCTGGCCTCTGAAACCTTTTCGGCAGCACGCTTTTCAGCCGCCAACAGTTGTTGGATTCCCTGTGTCTGACTCGCCATTTCTGATACACACAAAAACTATGTCGAGCGAGAATCAAGACCAAGACACAAATCAATAAGCGCAGTAGATCGTCGTGACGAAAGTCATATGATTACTTTAGTACCATTAGGTTGTCACAACTGGCGCTGTCAGCGACTCGTGCTTTTGTATTTCTGCGTGAATCGTAACTGTTGAGATTAATACTAAGCGAAGAGTATTGTCGAATGTTTACGCTTTAGTTTTGAACGTAGATGTACAGAAAATAATTACTATTGTGGTGTCTACATTTTGAAATAATAGCAACAAATAGTCTATATTTCGTCATTAAATTTAAAAGGCAAAATGTATAAATCTGCACGTAATGGATTTCATGTGACGTGTGGATAATGAGATTCTTTTGGTTTTCAATAGATGGCAATAGCGCCAACTGCTATATTATTTTGAAATTAATACATAATACAATTTTTATCACGTAATTCAGCAATATCATAAAATGTATATCAACTTTATGATAATACGATAATATTTCGACAAATGAACATAAAATGATATTGTCTATGGTTTCAACATGGAGTTAGAAAAGTTTTCAAGAAATAATATTTATTTGTAGTTTACGTATTACAGGTAAAATAGCAATGTACAAAAAGAAAAAATATGAGTATTAAAATGAATAATAATTTTTTAAGACTTTTTGTTTTGCTGTCCAAAAACATTTGTATCAGAGACAAAAAATTACTTGTTTTATTTAGCTAGCGGGAAATTCTAATTTTGAAGTTTGAAGTTTACGTTTGGCGTCTGCAAAGTGTACTTTTACTTTTATTAACAAAACTAGCTTTTGCCTGCGACTTCGTCCGCGTGGAATAGTGACTTCCGGCAGAAAAGTATAGATAGCTGTGCCCACGACTCCGTCAGCGTGTAACTCCTTGTGTATTAAGTTAATGAATGGAGTAACTTCTCCCGTTTTCCCAATATTTCCCTTCACTGCTCTGCTCCTATTGATCGTA